TTGCCCTGCAGCTTGCCGCCCAGGAGCCCGACTGGACCGAAGCCGAAATGTTTGAAGTTGTTCGGAGGCACAGCCCAAGCTCAGCAGGAGGTGCTGACTTGTGGCGCCCGCGCGAGCTCGACGCCCTGCCGCCCGAGGGCAAGACTGCCTTCACCGACCTGATCAATCAGGTTCGGACGACCTTTAAGTATCCCGCGCAGGTGCTACTCAACATGGTTCGCCTCCTCCCTAAGAATATCGAGTCCGATCGGCCCATCACCCATACCAACAGTTTCTATCGGATTCTAGTCAAGATGGACCGCCCAGCCCTCGCCGCAGGGGGTTCAAAAAGAGCAGGTTTTTGGGGTGGGGCGATCCGAGGCTCATCGTGCCTCCGAGCCGCCCTTTTTCAGTGAAGTGACAGCGGAGCTGGTCACCAGTTTGCAGATACCGCTAGCAGAAGCATGTGTTGATATCGAAAGGTTGTCGGCACTATTTGTACGGAGTGCGTCTGCGGGGTGGCCATCAGTCATGAGTATCACACCGCCCCGCTTATGCAAGCCATGATTGCTCACCAAGCAGCCAGATTCCTGTCATCGGCCTCTTTAGGATGCTCGTCGCCCACGTGTCCGGCCGACAGTGTCCTGCAAGGCTGTGCCCAGTCAACATCCTCAGCCCGATCATTGCTGTTTAACATCTAGGAATATTTACACTATCAGTTTCCACGTGTTCGTTTTCGTACCTGGGTGGGCGACCTGAGATTGAGAGTTTGGGGCGAGGAGATCCTGAAGGTGGTTCCAGAGGCCATGGCGTTCCTGGGTAAGAAGCTCGAGGCCCACGGTTGCAAGCTCTCTCCCAAGTCCTTTGTTCTCGCGTCGGTGCCTGGGCTGAGCGTCAAAATCAGCGAGCGGGCCAAGGAGTTGGGGTGGGCCGTCAAGACCAGTATCCGGGGGGGGGACCTCGGCCTGGACACTACCTTGGGGCTTCGGAGGCGCTTGAAGATTCGGAAGGAACGCTTCAAGACTGGGCTCCCGAGGCTCAACGGGATCACCAACCCCGCCAGGACCACCAGGAAGAGTCGGGGGCTGGTCAACACGGGGGCCCGTCCACAGCTCTTCTGGGGCCAACAGGGGCAAGGTATTGCGCCGACGGTTCTCAAACAAGTTCGGGGACGACTTGTCCGAGTGCTCGGATATGTTGCCAAGTATGGATGCACGACCGCAGGCTTTGCCTTGTCAGCACGGGGACAGCAGCAGGAGGATCCTGCGCGCTACCTCCCGATGCAAGTTGTCAAGACCTGGTTCGACATGGCCAACCAGAATCCAGAGTTGCACAAAGCGATAGGAAAGAGATGGTCTCCTACAGTGGCGCGTCTGGCGAGTAAGACCCGATGGAGTAGGGTTACCTCCCTCTTCTCCGCGCTCATTGCCACCCTACATGACCTAGGAGTGTACATGGTGGGGCCCTGGGGTTGGATCCTCCCTGACGATCAACGGTATAAACTCGTTCCTGGAGACCTCAGAGCCCAGACGGCCTTCCTGGACGACTTCAGTGTATGTGTTTCTCGGGTTCTCTGGGAAAGGGCCTCCCACTTTCATCTTGGAGGGGGAGCTGAGTTTGGGATCCACACGTTCCAGTTTCAGAAGACCCATCGGAAGCTTCGGAAGGATAACCAGCCCACCCGAGCCAAAGCCCTCCAAGCCCTCGGGAAGACCTCGACCTGGACCAATGCCCGAGTTCACGAATGTAAACCAAGTCAGTCAGCGCGATGTGCCAGGTGTGGAGCACCAGTGGAGGACGACCTTCACCGCCTTTGGACATGCCCAGCGCACATGCGCAGTACCGATGAAGCAGTCCTCGACTCCCAGCACCTCATCCAGAAGGCTATTGATGAGTTCCCCTCATATCCAGTGAAGTGGGGGCGAGGACTGCAGCCAGCTGATTTTACGACATGACGCCTGGACCAACACCCGCCCAGAGCCACCCTCGGAGCCACGGGGGCCTTCATGATCCAAGGGGGCCCTATCAAGGGCAAGTTTTTGGTGGGGACCGACGCTGGAGGAGGACGGTTTCTGAATGATCCGAGGCTGAGGAGAGTTGGCTGGGGGGTCGCAGTCAAAGATCCCGACCTCGATGCCATGGGAACTTTAAGAGGAGGCCTGCCAGGGAAACAGACGGTCAACCGCGGGGAGCTCTACGCGGTGGTCCAATCCGTCCAGAATTTATCAGGTGAGATCACCATAGTGACCGACTCAGCATATGTATATCGTGGAGTATTACGAGGCCCCCCTCTGGCAGCATAAATGTTATGTAGACCTATGTGAGGAGTTTTGGAAGGCCCATCAGAACTTTGACGGGACCATGGAGTTCCACAAGACTAAGTCCCACCCCACGGAGAGTGATTTCTGGGATTGCAACATCCAGCCCTGGGCGTCCCTGGCAAACCAATTGGCAGATCAGGTAGCAACAGATGCAGCCGCACGTGTCCAGCTTCCTGATTGGGTGACCCGCCCCGTCCTAGAAGCCGATCGCGAGGTAGAGCTCATCCAGAATCGAATTGCTGCCGGCCAGGAATTTTTCTGGGAGGTTTTCCCAGCTCCGCCTCCTGCTCCCGAGAAGCGGGGGCGGGTTAAGGCCCCAAAGAAGTGGGGCCATGCCCAACGTGTTTTGGAGGATGGTCCCGAGGGCCTGCGGTGCAATATATGTTTCATGTATCAGATTCGCGGGGCCAAGGAATCCTGGCTCGAGTCACAGTGCACCCCGAATCATGCCCAGTGGTTTCGCACGTCGCACCGCCCACACCTCCACGTCTTCCGTGGGGTCGCATTTTGCAGCAGGTGTGTGTGTGTGTGTGTGTGTGTGTGTGTGTGTGTGTGTGTAGTGTGTGTGTGTGTGGGTGTCGTCGACTCGAGCCTTTACGTTGAAGGACCCTTGCCTCCCCCCCACAAGCACGGGGAAAAAGGCGAGGTCACGGCTGCTTCGTGGACTGCTGCCGCAAGGACTGCAGCAGTGGCCGTGCTCCTTGGCCGCCAGGTCGCAGGAGGACTGCGCCCGGGCCCTAGGAGTGCCAGGCCAGAGGATCTCACAGTGAGGTCCCGATCGGGCCCGAGGAGTGCTCGGACCCCCCTTAGAAGCATGCAACATGCAACATGGAGGAGGAGGAGGAGGAGGAGGAGGAGGAGGAGGAGGAGGAGGAGGAGGAGGAGGAGGAGGAGGAGGAGGAGGAGGAGGAGGAGGAGGAGGAGGAGGAGGAGGAGGAGGAGGAGGAGGAGGAGGAGGAGGAGGAGGAGGAGCAGGAGGAGGAGGAGGAGGAGGAGGAGGAGGAGGAGGAGGAGGAGGAGGAGGAGGAGGAGGAGACGGAGGAGTCAGAGGAGGAGTCAGAGGAGGAGGAGGAGGAGGAGGAGGAGGAGGAGGAGGAGGAGGAGGAGGAGGAGGAGGAGGAGGAGGAGGAGGAGGAGGAGGACGACGAGGACGACGAGGACGAGGAGGAGGGTGACGAGGCCCAGTGTAAACCTAAGACCCACCAGCGATGCTGCAGTAAACCCTTCCTCCCTCCCTCCAAGCTCCGTCTTCACTGGCCCGTACAAAGGTTTCATTTCCACTGAGGGAACTGCCGCGTTGGGAGACAGCCGCTCAAGACCCTGAAACAGGCCAACACATTTTTTTTCCGGGGCCCCAGCGCCACGGATCAACCTGACTGTTGCGTCGTGGCGATCTTGAATCGTGCCAGAACGCTAATTCTGGGACTTCGACGCCGCGAATCAACGTAATTGTTGCACCCTCACAATCCTGAGTCCTTCCAGAACGTCATTTCTGGTATGTCGACCAGGTGAATTCGTGAAGCGCTTGCAGGTTGTTAAACACGAGTGTGCGCGGCTCTAAAGCTAGGGCTACATTTTGAAAACGAGCCGCCCTCAATTAGTGAAGCTTGCTGTGATATCTTAAGACGAGTGTGCGCAGCTTTAGGCGAGAGCAACATTTCGAAAACGGCCCGCCTTCAATCCGTGAAGCTCTTGCAATTCTAGACGCTTCGCGTATCCCCACCAGCCCGTCCAGAAACGACGCCCAGGCGAGTCGAGGGTCGTCCTGAGGGGCTTTTCGGCGTCTTGGGTGCCTCGGGGGGGCCTCTTTGGGCTGTTTGGGATCCTCTTGGGGGCCTCCTGGGGGCCTCTTGGGGCCATCTTGGGGCCATCTTGGGGCCTCTTGGTGCCTCCTGGGCGCTTCTTGGGGCCATCTTGGAGGAAATCGATCAAAGAAGAGGGGAGCTTCAATTAGCGCTGCCCCCTCGGAAGGCCAAAATGGGGCCAACACCTTAGTAAAATCAATGGTTTTGGCTTCAAAGAAGAGGGGGGCTTTAATTAGCGCTGCCCCCTCAGAAGGCCAAGTGGGGCCAAAACCATAGTAAAAGCAATGATTTTGGCTTCCTCGCCGAGGCCGTTTTGGACGCCCTGACCGCTCCCCGCCCCTTTTGTCCAGGTCAGTGGGGAGGGGGTAGGGGGAGGGGTAAACCCCTCCCCGAAGGGGAAGAGGGAGGGGTGGAAGAGGAAACGCTCTAAACCACCGACGCCCAGAGGGCTGGTGGGATTCTTTGAGACGAGTGTGCGCGGCGCCAAGGCGAAAACCGCATTTTGAAAATCACGCGCCATCAACCCATGAAATCTTGTAATTACTTAAGAGTGTGCGGGGCGCTAAGGCGGGAACCATGTTAAAAACAACAACAAACCACCCGCCCTCCATGTGTGAAACTGTTGGCATGTTTCAAGCTTCGGGGTCGTAAGTGGTGAGGATGTCTCAGGCGAATCGCCCGGCCCGCCATTTCGACCAGCCCCGGGGTGCGGCGGGGAGGAGTTCTTCTAAGGAGAGGAGTGGAGGCGCAGGGGAAGGGTGACGACCGCGACGGCGCTGACGCCGACGCTGCAGCCGACAACGACGAGGCGAGGCCAGCATTGGGGCGGGTGCCACGACGAGAGGACGACGACCTGGCCCCGCGAGGGGGGCGGGTGCCTGGACGGCGCGCGGAGGTTGCCCAGCGGCTGCGGGAGGGCGCGAGCGTGGAGGACGCCCGGGCTCCGCCGCGTTCTCTCCTTTTCCTCCTCCTCCTCTTCCTCCTCCTCCTCCTCCTCGTACGGTAGGGCGGCGGATGAATGCCTCCTCCTCCTCTTCCTCCTCCTCCTCCTCCTCTGACTCCTCCTCTGACTCCTCCGTCTCCTCCTTTGACTCCTCCTCCTCCTCCTCCTCGAGCTTCGTCTCATCCTTCAGTGCGAAGCGGGGCCCTCGGTGACCTTCCTCCCGGCCTGTGCCATGGGGGGCACATCAGGGAAGCGGAGAGGTAACAGCACACGGGGTAACAGGAAACGTCCCGTTCCGCCAGCAGCGCAAAGGGCCGCTGCCCGACGTGCCTGCTGAAGGGCCTCCACTGGCAGACGAAGCTGAGAAGGACCCCCCGGTTCATCCTCCAGGATCACGGGGAACTCCCGCCTATCGCAGCCAAGGTCGTGACATAACGCGGCAAGGGTCAGCGCGTGTGCAGGACGATTTCCATGGAGTCCTCCATGGAATGGCCCCATGCCTGCATTGCCCTGTCTGAAGCAGCCACCTGGGTTTCAGCTGAGCAGGACCTTCGCGCGTTGGCGACGCAGAGGCCCCGGGCACAGACGGTGCTTTGGGCCGCTCCTGCGACGACGACGGCACGGAACTGGATATGGACGACGACTGGGCCGTGTGCGCCGACATTGCGTCTCCAGAGATGTGTCCTGAGGGTCACAGTTCACGGTGATCACCGAGGGCCGCGCACCGGTGGCAATGATCACAATCTTGGTGCACTACAAGGTGGGCGATGCCGACGCAGAAGCGGACGAACCTGACCTTGGAGCGCCATCGCGGCGGCGGAGGCGGATGCGGCGCACGGAACGACGGGAGTGCCAACGGCGGCGCCGACAAATGCTCGACCCTGTCTGCTTCGACCACGCCTGGGCTGTTGCCCAGGCGGCAGCAGGCTGCGTCGACCTGTTGCGCGAGTAGGCGCTGCAACGGCTGCTCGCCAGGGAGCCGGAGAAACGGGTCGTGACCGCCCGGGAGGTCTCGCGCAGCACTGCGGCCGTGCTGGAACGTTGGAAGCTCGCTGCAGATGCCGAGTTCACTGCCAACTTTCTGGAAATGGGCGCCTTCCAAGAGTCCACCCTGGCTGAGCGGGCCGCGCGCGGTACGCCTCTACCGATGGTGTACGTGTTGTCTCGGACTGCCGACCTGCGCAAGTGCGGAGCTTGTGTTTGCGGGAGCTCTGCAGTTCCGGATCCCGCGTTGGAGTCTTGGACGGCACAGGGCGAGCCGTCATCTTTGTTGTCCACCCTGCAGCTTGGATGCTTGCGCACATGGTCGGTGTCGAAGCACGACGTCAAAAGGAGCTTTCTTGAATGCTGCCATCCCAGAGAAGCGCTTGGCCATGAATCTCTCCACCATCTCAGTGGATTCGCTTGGGCCCCTGTCCCTCCAGGCATCGCGTGGGCCCTCGACGAGGCCCTCTACGGGCTCAGGGCCCCCTCTGGCTCTGGGCAGAGAGCGCGGGGCGAGAAGCTGCGCGACGCGCGGTGGGCGGCGCGCGAATTCGTGCAACAAGAACATTGCGCGCTACCTGGAGCAGTGCAGTGCTGACTCCCAGGTGTGCTGCATCAAAGGCACCGCAGGCAGATCGAAGCAAGCGTTGGGCGTGCCAGTGGTGTATGTCGACGGTCTCGTGGTGGCAGAGACGGGCCATGCGCGCAGCTTCCTGGCCGAGGTGGGGACGATCTTGATACTGGCCAAAGAAGCCTTCTTAGAGATAGACAGACCTTTGACCTTTCTCGGCGTCGATATTGTTCAGAAGAACGGTGACATCACGTTGCGCCAGGAGCGCCTCGTGGAGAGCCTGTTGAAAAGTGCGGCATGGAGAGCTGCAGTGCCATCAAATGTGGCAAGATGGGGCCATTGCCAGCGGATTCTGATGAACCTGCGTTGCCAGTTCATTTGCAGCTGCAGGATTACAGTGGCGAGTTCGACTGGCTTGCCACCAGGGCGCGCCCAGACATCTCGTGCTATATGTCGTTGTTGGCATCGTCGTGCTCGAAGTTTTCGTCTTGGAGTACGGGGCTCGCTCACAAGATGCGCAGGTACTTGAAAGGAGCGGCGTCCCAGGAAATTCCGTTGACCGAGAAGGGCAGCCATGGGTACTTGGAAGCCTGGACAGATGCCAGGTACGCTGATGCCGCTGCCTATTCCCGCAGCGGATTGGTCCTAGTATGGGCTTGGAGCATCGCGGCATGGTGCTCTGACAGACAGTCGGCTTCCATTCTGCCGACGGAAAGGGCAGAGCTCTACAGTGCCGCGCGCGGACAGCACATTGTGAGGGGCTGGAGGCACCTTCGCTCCAACCTTGGCGCCGAGATCCCCAAGGTGACGGTCCTCATCGACAGCCGTGCCGCTCTGACCATGGCGATGTGCGGTGCTAATTGGAGGGCCCGGTGTTTTTCCTGTGCCCGGGCGCAGGTTTCATGGAGGCCACGAGCGTGGGACTGCCGAGCTTGGGACAGCCGAATTTCTCCAGTGTCTAATTCGTGGTGCGATAGCAGCTTGCTTGACTAAGCTCGCGGCCAACGTGGTCATCCCGGTGCTCTCCAGCGCCGTGGGCGGTGTTTTCCCGGGCGCGGCTGCCGGCCAGCCAGAGCATGGGGCACGACGGGCTGGCCGCACGATGGGGCATGACGGGCTTCCCTGCTGGGGGTCTCGGTGGCGAGGAAGGTATGGAGAAGCAGGCGCGCCATGGCGCCTCGGTGTTTCCTGGGCCGCGGGGCTGGGGAGACATCGCAGGCGACGGCCCCGCGCCGCGGAGAACCGTGTCGGCGTCCAGAGGCGCTTCGGGAGGGCATCTTTCTGATGTGCGCGTGGGCGGAGATCCGTCGGGAGGGTCACCTTCCGATGGGCGCAGTGTCGCCGCGTCCTCTTTGCAGCGGGCCTCGGCCAGCCAGTCCATGTTTTTCTGAGGACAGCAGTAATATAGTGCCCCAGGATGTGCCCTGACTCAGGCAATGACGACCCACTGTGGGAGGACGCGTTCGAGCTGCTGTGCGCGAAGTATTCGCTGGACATGCTCGACCGCGTGCTGGCGACGCGCAAAAAGTGCGGCCAATGCAAGACCCAAGAGGGATTGGCTCGCCATGCTCGTCGAGGCCCACCTGATCACCAATGACGAGTGGCGCGTCGCTCTGGGTCGCTTCCTGCAGCGGCGGACCTCCGAGGTCGCGGGCGACCAGCAGGTCGCCGCCGCGATTCCGCGCAGTGACGAGACGGGCGGCCACGAGGGCGATCGCGAGGCGGACGGGCACGAGTCCGCGGAGCAGCGCCCCCCCCCAGGGGCTCCAGCCACCAGGCGCTGGCGCGGCAAGGAACGCCGCAGGCCCAGGGCCAACGAGCGGCGCTGGAAGAAGCTGGAGGACTCGCGGGCGCAGTCCACGGCTGCTGCCGCCAGAGCCGCGGGTGGGGGGAGCACGCGAGTCACGCGAGTCCCACCTTTTTTCGCTCGCGCTTCCCGCGATCGGTCGGGCAGGTTGCCGCGTCGGGTTGGCATCCGTCCGATGGGTGGCGCCAGCGACCAGTGTAGCATGCACCAGTGAACTGTAGCATGAGCAGGGGCATCATGATGTCTGACCGTACCCGCTTACTCTACAGTGCTGTTCTGGATTTTGAACCGTTTAGTCGGCCAGGGCAACATGCCGAGAAAACCATTGGGCGATAATGTTCGTTTAGGTTTTAGTCGCGCTGCGGGAGCGCTTCTGCTGGTACGAGTGGGGGCCTGCTGGTGCGACTGGGACCTTGCCGATGCGATGAAAGTGGCTTGAGAAGAAGCCAGCCAAGATGCGTGCCACAATTTTTTCGAACACGATTAATTAAAGCATTGCCGGTTACGGCCAGCGGTAACACGAGCAGTAAGCGCTGGAAGGACGCCCCGAGCTCTCGGCCCCGTCCCTTGCCGGCCCTGCCCGGAGCTTTCGGCCCCATCTTGAAAGTTCACGCAGCGTAGCAAGACGTTGCGCAGGCACGGGCCACAACATCATTGAACGCAGATGGGCAGTCAATGACTGTGCTTCGCCGAACCTTCGTAAGGTGCCCTCCTGGAGCTTTGCTGCGGCGTCTTTGAAGCCGTGTGGGCAGTCTTGAAACCATGTCGGTTAGTTTTGATTTCTCTTCGGCGTATTGGAGGCCAAGTGAGGTGGCATCTGGGTCCGTGTGGTCCGTTTCGGGGCCCTTTTGGGCTGTCCTGGGGCTCTCTTGAAGGCATCATCGGCTGTCTTGGGGCGATGTTTGGGGCCCCTTTGGCCGTCTGGGAACGTCGGAGAGACGAAAGGACGAGAATGCCCAAAGCCATGAAAATCTTACGGGTCCTCCTCCTCCTCCTCCTCCTCCTTCTCCTCTTCCTTTTACTCCTGTTCTTCGTCCTCCTTTCCATTTCTTAATCTCCCTTCCCTTCCTTCTTGTTTTCTTGCTTCCACCTGCTCCTCATTCCTTTCGTGCTTCCTTTCCCTTCCTCCCTCCATCTCCCTCGTCCTCCTCACGCGTCCTCCTCGCCCCGCCCTTTCCTCTGCCCGCCTCTTCCAGTTCCCGCCTCCTACCGCCTCTTGTTTCCGTCCCTTCTTTCTTCGTCATCCGTGCCCCCTCCTCCTCCCCTTCTTCATCTTCCATCCTCGTCCTCCTCGCTGCTCCCCCTCCTCTCTCCTGTTATCCCATCCCCCGTTCACATATCTTGTCTGCCTCATCATGTCTATGTGAGTAGAGCAGCCATGGGGTGGGCCTTGCAGCTTGTGGCCACGGGTCACGCTCAACGCTTCCGGGTTTGTAGGTGAGCTTCGAGTTTTGCTATCTGTCCTCCTTCTCGTCGTTCCTCGGCCTCCCTTGCCCTTCCTCCTCCTATCTCCTCCTCGCTCCGACTACTCCTCCGTCCTCTGACCTCTCCTCTTCCTCCCCGCTCCTGGTCTCACCCCTTCTCTCCTCGCTCCCCCTCCCCCTCCTGCCTCCTCGTTCCTCTTCCCCTCCTCCCGCTCCTCCTGTGCCCCCTGTCGCCTCCCCGCCCTTCCTTCCCCTCCCTTCCTCGCTCCTCGTGCTCGCTCCGTGGTCGCTCTCACGCTTCTCGCCCTCACCCTTTCTCTCTCCGCCCCCTCCCCGTACGGCCAGGAGCTCACCAGGGAGGTGGAGGACAGCATGGCCGACCAGCTGCAGACCCGGCTGGCGGCGGCCGCCGAGGACGGCAGGTGGTAGACAGGGGCGGCCCAAAGGGGGTGATGACTAGGGACTAGGGGGGGGGTGGATACCATGGCGTGGGCCATGAGGTCTCCCCAGATTTCATGGCGCTTATTTCGTTACGCCCTTGGCCCCACCTCGGGCCGCGCACATGCCGCCGGCCATGATTTGCATTCCCCTTCTCAGACGCCCCCTCTCGGCCGCCCCCGAGGATAGACGAGGGGAGGGGAAGGACGGGGTGGTCGATAGCGATGACGGCGACGACGAGGGTCGCGGGAGGACTTGCGGAGACGATTCGCGGTCTCGGCGGAGCGGCCTGAGGCTTGGAAGCGTGCGGGGCCCGAGTTTCTTTCGGACAGCGACGGGTTCGTTGCGGACATTGCTCGCCGTTTCCTGGGCTGCGTTTGTTTCTCTGTTCAGTCGCCGCTGACTCGTCGCGCGCGTAATCTGATACATATATACATACATACGTACATACATACATACATACATACAGACAGACAGACAGACAGACAGACAGACAGACAGACATACATACATACATACAACCATACTTACAGACATACAGACATACATACAGACATACATGCATACATACATACATACATGCATACATACATACATACGCATACATACAGATCAGAGTGAGGGGGCCGAACGCATTCGTTGTCCCTGGGTGCGTGGCTGAAGTGGGGATATGTTGTGAGGATTTTGCTTGTTGCGTTGTTGTTGTTGCTGCTGCTGCTGCTGTTGTTGTTGTTGTTGTTGTTGTTGTTGAACATTATTTATTCTAAAGAATAATTATTGTTGGGGCCCCTGGTGCGCGCCCCCCTCGCCGCGCCTAGGCCGCAGCCACATTTTCATCATTTTCGTGAGGCAGTCTCAGGCAAAACGTGGGTGTCCGGATCCGGTTGTTTTGTTGACGCCCGCTTTCCCTTGCAAAAAACACTATAAAATGAAATTTCTTGTTCTAACATGACCAAACTTCAAGAATCCTTTGAAAAAATGGCACGAAGTGCACACTCGCGCGCGCAAGATGAAATCCTTCCAAAACCTTAGTTTTCGTAGCGATTTTAACATAAAAACATGAAAAACCCAATGGTTTTTCAAAACAAAAGTTTCAAACATTCATCTTGCGCGCTCTTGCGGATTTCTGAGGAAACCCAATATTTTTTCAACATTTCTGTCAAACGGGCTCTTGCGAGCAACTTTTTCACGTGCTTCGAACTTCTGCAACAACGGTTGCGCGCATGCCAGGGCCATCATCCCTGTCAAATAATACCATATTGGACACATTCGTTTTTTCTTCGCGCGCGCACGCCGTCGTCGTCGGCCGCGGGACCCTGAATAGTAGCCACGGTCGTCCGCATGCCACGAAGTGAAGTGTCCGAACGTCATAGGGCGGGAAGCTGGGTGTGGGTGGTGGCGAAGAGTCGTTTGGAAATTTGGTAGAGCTTGAACCGGCCCCCCCACAAAGTGGGGGTATTGCCCGCCTCCTATGAAAACCCTGGCACTGGTGAGAACGGAGTGTCCCCAGTCTTAAATGATTGTTGTTGTTGTTGTTGTTCTTGTTGTTGTTGTTATTGTTGTTGTTGTTGTTGTTGTTGTTGTTGTTGTCGTCGTCGTCGTCGTTGTTGTTGTTGTTGTTGTTGCTGTTGTTGTTTGTTGTCGTCGTCCCACCCGCGACCAACCCGCGACCCACCCCGCGACCCACCCCGCGACCCATCCCGCGACCCACCCCGCGACCCAACCCGCGACCCACCCGCGACCCACCCCGCGACCCATCCGCGAGCCACCCCGCGACCCACCCGCGACCCACCCCGCGACCCACCCGCGACCAACCCCGCGACCCACCCGCGACCCACCCCGCGACCCACCCCGCGACCCACCCCGCGACCGCGACCCAACCCAGCGACCACCCCGCGACCACCCGCGGCCCACCCCGCGACCCACCCGCGACCCACCGCGACCCACCCGCGACCCACCCCGCGACCCACCCGCGACCCACCCGCGACCCACCCGCGACCCACCCCGCGACCCACCCGCGACCCACCCCGCGACCCACCCGCGACCCACCCCGCGACCCACCCGCGACCCAACAGCGACCCAGCACAGGCGTCACAGTTTGACAAATTATACAACGAGCCTGCCGCAGGCGCCGATTTTTTCGATAAACCAATTTGGGAAGGTCGCGGGTGGGTCGCAAATGGGTCGCGGGTGGGTCGCGGGTGGGTTGCTGTTGGGTCGCGTGTGGGTCGCGGGTTGGTCGCGGGTGTAGAGGGCAGGAAATCAATTCCGTAATAATCACCCCGGCAAGGGAAGCCCTTTAGTAAACGCACACAAGGAATGAATCGAACAGGGCAGGGCTGTTTAGTCAACGCGCAGGGCCATTTAGTAAACGTCGATTCTCGGGTCCGGGTGATTTTTCCTCCCTTGAGGGTGGGTCGCGGGGTGGGTCGCGGGTGGGTCGCGGGGTGGGTCGCGGGTGGGTCGCGGATGGGTC